GGTGTTAGCCTATATTGGGGCTAATTTGGGGATTTTGTCAAAGATGGTCAAATTGACCAAATTGGACCAAGGTGTAGTGGAACAAAATGAAATTGGAAATATTTTGGATTTATTAGGATTTTTTAGGAATTTTTGAAATTTTTGGATTTTTGGGCCATGGAGGGGCATTTTGGTAATTTGGTCATTTTTGTCAGTTTTGGATGTATTTAAAATGTTTGGAATGAGTATTGATCAGTTTTGGGTATTTTGGCCAAATTTGAGTCCCAAGGGCAGTTATGTAATTTGGAGGTGTCTAACGATAAAGACCAAGTTGAGCATTTCAAGTAGAATTGGATAGAGAACCATTTTAGATGAGTCATACACCAATGAAATCCCATTTTGGGTCCTCATATATTGGTCTTAGCCAAGGTATTGTGAGGGTATTGTGAAGATATGGTGAGGGTTTAGTGTACCTTAGCTCCGAAGCAACACCCAGGGTCAATTCTAAGGTCAAGTAACCCTATAGAAACTCTTATTGAACTTCCCCATAATGATCTTACCTTCTAAATATTAGAGGTTAGGACCAATATGTGGAACTTCAAGTCGAGTAAAGAAAAGAGTTTTGAGTTTCTAATAGTGAGGGTACGTTTTCTAGTTTTCTAAGACTAGTCAATAGGAAAGTCCTATGGCTAGACCTACGCTACTAAAAAAGTTTCTAGACCTCAACCAAAAGTGAGGTCAACAAATGTGTTCGTGTTCGGTTCGATTTAAATATTCGTGTTCGTGTTCGGCTCGGGTTCGACTCGAAATTGGCTCTTGTTCAGCTCGAAATTGGCTCGTGTTCGGCTCGAAATTGAGAAAAATCAATGTAAAGTGTGAGATTCGAACCTGGATCAAATATATACAAAAAAAGACACTAACCACCTTGCCACATGAGATATTATGATTTAAATTTAAACATAAATATATATAATATATTATTATATAAATAATATATGTAATATATTGTTATATAAAAGTTATATAACTTTTTTTTTCGAGCCATTTTGAGCCGAACACGAGCGAACAAACTGATGTTCGTGTTCGGCTCATTTACATTTCGAGCTTAAAAATTTGTTCGTGTTCGGCTCGTTAGGCTCGTTCGGCTTAACAAAGGAGCCGAACACGAGCTGTTCACGAACAACGAGCCAAATTGACAGCCCTATTTTTAAGCTCTTCATTCTAAATAATACATTACTTCCATTCCGTTTAGGTTAAAAAAAAAGTCTCAACTTTTTGTACTAAAAAATCTTAAACATAATCCTCTGTCATACCACACATCGACAAATATTCAGATCCATCTTACATTCGAGGAAAAAGAAAGATCCACTACCAAAATTCAAAACTCAATGTCAAACATCAAGGTCAATGACAATGAAAAATGGAACGACACAAACAAATGCTTGCAAAAATTTCAGTTTTTATATATATGTCACCTTACCTATACATAAAAAAGCCTTATTTCACTTTTAATAAGTTAAAATTTGATATTTTTTATTTGATATGAAAGATTTGAGTGGTATAAGTGTTAAAACCAAAAGTTTAGGTGTTAGATATATAAATACATAAGAATTAAGATGTATGTATGCAAATCCACGAAAATTTAAATGCTCTCCAACGACACAAACAATTTGTTACTCGAGGAATATTTGGAGATTATAGATGATGCAAGTTTTAGGAAGAATAATAACTCAAAAGAAATGCCCAGTAACAAAAAAATGTGAGCATCTCACCCGAAATGCACATCCCTGAATTCAATGCACCCTCCAGTCAAGTTTAATAGCTTTGCGTTGTCTTCATCTTTAATTTCAGATTTCTCCTACAAAATTTTTTTAACAATATGAACCGATAAATCAAAAGAATTAAGTGCAAAAACTGAAGTACAACTAATCCACAATTTTCAGAATCAGTATTTTTCCATACAATTCTCAACAGTGTAAACAAGTTTAGAAGGGCTTACAACTGAAGATACAACTAAGGGGGGGGGGGGGGGGCCTTTGCGAACAGAGATACAATACTATACAATACTAGTTTAGAAAATTTAATCACAAATGTGTGCACCATAGGAGGTAAACACTTTGGATCGATCGTAAGAAGTATGCAGAGGAAACTCTTTGGGGATGATAAACAGGAATTAAAACAATATCAGAATTGGCAATGACGTACCTCAAGCAATTGAAACATAGACTTCATATCAATAAGGCTTTGCCGAGTTTCTCGATAAATACTTCCAAGAAAGTTGAGAGGCAATGAAAGTTGGAAAAGGAGGCCGTTCACCATAACCTGAGCATTACAGCAAACACGCAAGTTTCAAAAAGAGGAAGCGCATGTATTACAAAGACTAGAATAAACTGATAAATCTGATCATAATTAAAAAATTATATTCACAAAAATGCACTGTAAGCCAAAAAAAAAAAAGTAAACGGATATATTTGATTAGTCCAAAATTGGATGCAAAGTGGATTTCTTGGAACCCACTGTACAGTGAACCAACTTTATCAAATAAATTTGTCCAACCAAACACAATAAACATTATCATAGAAATTGTTACACATCTGGCATGAACACCATGTAATTAGAATATGCTTCAACAATTTCACCGAAAAACACCTGTTATATTGCATTTTAAATAGCAAAAACAGCCCCCAAACTATTCATACGCAGCTAATTTAATTCTTGAGTATAACATTTCTCCAATTTCGTCCTAAAAAATATAGAAATGGTCCCAAATGATCCCCCATGTAAAAATTGATGGAAATTGGGATAAAGAAATGATCCCGATTTAGTCTACTGACTGTACAAAATTGATCTAATTTAATCGCTGAGAGACCATTTGGAATCAGTTTTGTAAAGTCAAGAGATTAAACTAGAGAAATGTAGTAACTGGGATTAACTAAGAAACATATAAATAGTCTGGGTCTATTTGGGATGAAGCCCACCCACATTTTTATACTTAAAGTGCACCAGATTTGTTTGCATAAAGACAAGTGGCTCCTATCTTCGGCAGCCCAAATGATACATTTTTTTAGCGCCATAATTTGTACAAGGTTATGTGGTTTTTGAAAGTTTTGACCGCTCCCCATGAACTCTCTAAATTTATTTTTATTTTAATTTTGCGAGCACATTTTGATTTGGAGTTCGAGGTTTTCCATAAGCGCAAGCCTCTGGGTTAATTACCCTTCCCGGTAAAAGGAGAGCACTTTCGATTAAGGCAAATCATCAATTATTGAATATTCAACATATAATAGCAGCAAATATACATTTTAAAAATGTAAAATCTATCACTAGTAGCTTAAAACGGATGGTGGGGGAATGAAGACAAAATCCGATCAAAATTACATGGTTCTGTCATCCTGGATCATATGATCCTTGATCTACTTAGCCAGAGATAGTCGACCTTGTCGGCAGCTAAAAAGTTTGGGGAGGTTGCCCGTAAGAAGTTGTCGGTCTCTGGAAGTGAAGTCCCGTCGCCCGCTTCAGAAGGACGTTTTAATTTACATATAATTTTATAATTTTATAAAAATATGAAATCAAACTGACCTCATATTTTTCGCAGTTTAAAAGAGCGCTCTACCTCAAATCCTGTATCTATCCCGAGGGATAAACACAAGACTTGAGGATGATGCTCGATCAAATAAACTAAGAAATATATGAC